GACTGACAGACTGACAGACAGACAGACAGACAGACAGACAGACGCACGTACGTGTGTATCTGTATGTTATTCTCTATAGATATATACAGATATATATATATATATATCTCTCTCTCTCTCTCTGTGTAACTACTTTTATCTATTTAAATGTTTGCATATATGTGTATCCATGTGTATGTTTATGTTAATGTGTATATTTACGGTTGTATCGATTTTTGCGTTATAATTGTATTTCTATTCTGTATAGATATAGGTGATATATATATATATATATATATGCGTATGTGTGCACATATGTGTATGTAAAAACAGACATAGCAACACGGTGAGTGTCAGACAGTTGTCTGTATCCGACAGCTTTACCATGTCCCACCCATAACTTGACTTTCAACAACCATATCGGGAGTTCAAGTGCTGCGAAGTCTAGAAGCAGCTTAGCATTTTGGAACCTGATTCTTCGCGCGCTGCTCTTCCTTCTGCCGCTCAGCGGTCAGCTGCGCGATCTAAGCATCCAGGTAGCAGTACACTGTCGAGCAGAAGCGTGCCAAAACGAGGACAGTGACCTTGGAAATCACCTTCGACTCAGTGGTGGCTGTTTCAGAGACGACAAAAAAGCGTGGCTCCGACATCGCTGAAGAAATCTTCCGACCCGACGGGCAAGTTCGTGGAGGCGGCGCAAACCCTTTCCAAATCATTCCACCATCCCTGCAGCCCGAGGTCCCAGCGCGGGCGTCAAGGTTGGCTTTCTTCTCTCTGGCCTTCTGGATCTCCTCAGAAAGCGAAGACAAACGGCGAGTTTGGGGCAAGAAGGTGAATCGATAACCCACACAGCCCCACTTTCGACTGTCATATGCAGGATCATGAACCCAAACCGCAAGCCCTCCCGTCCCCTGTATCGATACCCTAACATCGGATCCCTGGAGCCGACCTTGTTCATGGAGGCGAAGAAGGACTGGATGCGTTCGGACTCCTGCGTCGCCTTCTGCACTTGAAGAGTGTCGGCCTCCGAGTTGCGGACGTTTTGTGCAGCTCTTAACGAGGTGCACCCAGAGACTCAAATACCCCTTAATTAAGGAATATACCTTAAATCATATTAGGGATCCCTATTATAATTTAAGGTCTGTTCCTTAATTAAGGGGTATTGGAGTTCTGTGCACAGGGACTTCGGCCTCGGGCCTCAGGGTTTCGGAGGTTATAAGGTTTAGGTTTAGGGTTTAGGGTTTAGGGTTTAGGGTTTACGGTTTAGGGTTTAGGCTCTGAGGGACTTCGGTTGAAGAGAAAGCTTTGGGAGTCTTGTGTAGGGCTCCCGTACCCTGGGCCTCACCATCCGCGGACCCTGCCTCTGCCTCAACGAAGCCTCAAGACCCTAAACTCTAAACCCTCATCCCTCAAGCCGAAACCCTAAACCCTAAATCCTGGGATCCCTCAGCACCCTGAAGTCCTGGTCCATGTTCGCCATCATCTCTTCCAGGTTTTGGCTCCGCTCTTTGAGCTCCTCCACCTTCATTGGAGTCTGGGAATGGGGTATTGAATTTGGTCTGTAGGTTGTAAACGGTGTCCTTGGGATCGTAAGGCTCCGTCTTTGGAGGTTTCGCGCTCCAAGCGGCGCCCTATTTGCTAAGACTGATTGCGGCCAATTCGAGCCCCGCACGTGCTCTGAATGCTGCCTGATCTCGAAGTTCACCTTGTCCAAGGCCTGCAGCCAAGTGTGTCTCTGTCCCTGGATGTGGACACAATCTCCCAGCTTCCCACATAAACCGGGGTGAGTCAGGCCGCGAAGCATCACAGTTGCGCTGCCCGGCAAGTTCCCAGCTCTGAACGCTTTCATTCCAGTTCCCATGAGCCCTGAGACTTGGATCGAGGCCCTTCAGCCCTTCAGCCCTTCGGCCTGCTGCTGGGAGCTGAGCTTTGCCAAGAGCTCTGCCCGGTCCATCTTCAGGCGCTGGACCTCCTTCCGGGTTGCCTCAGTGCATAGGGGTCAAGCCCCGAAGCCCCGGCCACGGTATGGCGAAATACCCTGGCAACGGGAGCATGGGCCGCGGCGCCGATCTTCTTGGCCACTGCCAAGGCCTCTCTGAATCGCATGAGGAACTGCATGCTTGTTCATAAACTTCTCTTGCTCAGAGTCTGCGGTAAGAAGCTGGGATTTGAAGGTGGGGAGGGGGCCATGTTCAGAATGCATGGTGATTGCCTGCTTAACCCCTGCCATGATCTTCTTGCGTTTCGGTCACTGCAATGGGCACGCGACTGCTATTGTCGCTATCACTACTTCAGCTGCGTAGCTAACCCTTACCAACATGACTGTGCCTATGCCAGCAGCTTTCTGTTGCAACAGCTGCTGCTGCTGCTGCTGCTGCTGCTGCTGCTGCTGCTGCTGCTGCTGCTGCTGCTGCTACTGAGCTGCTACTGCTGCTAGCTACTGCTGCTAGCTACTGCTGCCACCGCTACTACTGCTGCTACTGCTGCTACGGCTGCTACCGCTGCTAGAACTACCACTACTACCACCACACCACCACCTCTAATAGGTTCTGCGATCCAGCTCTCCTTCTTGATACTCTTCCACTTTCACCCTACTGTTGCAACATGTTGTAACCCTTGTCAGTCCTGTTGATTTACGGTGAAGAGCCAAGTGATAACAATCATCGCCGGCCTTGGATTTCCCAGCACCGTGCTTGCCTTTGCAGCATGAGAAGGTATGATTTGTGGCTTCATGTGGAGGGCGGCGGTTAGCTTCAAGGCCGAACGAAAGCCGTGTCGTCTTTACGGTGTAGCGAGCACATGTAAAGAAGGGCTGCATTCGTCAAGCTTGAGCGTCACCCGGCGCGACAAGCCACCTTCAGCCGCCAGCGCGACGGTCGAAGGTTCAGTCTGCAGGCGTTTGGAGATGCTTCGAAGCTAGACGGTTCGGCAAACTGCTGCGCAAGGCTTCTTCATTTTCGCAGCTTAATGCAGAAGTGCTGTTTCATTTTCGCAGCTTAATGCAGAAGTGCTGGGCTGCTCCAAGCTTACCACAGACTCACAAGTTAAACGAGCAGGATGGCCCGTTGTTTCGCTGTCTTTCTCGGGCACGAAGGTGATGCATGGATGAGGTGAGAGGCGAAAGAGTGGTGACTCTCACTTCGAATGTGGCACGTGCCTTCAAAACCCTGAGACCTCCGACACTCCGAGGCCTAAGCCAAGCCCGAAGAGCCCTTCTTCATTCACAAAGTCATGCAAAACGACCTGCAGCGCGCCGCCGAGCTTCATGTCGGCCTGGAGAAACCTTGCGGTACTGTATCTATATATATATATATGAGAGAGAGAGAGAGAGAGAGAGAGAGAGACAGACAGAGAGACAGAGAGACACAGAGAGAGAGAGAGAGACCGAAAGAGAAAGCGGAAGTGAACCTCCCCGGTTCCCTCCCGGGGCCCCAGCTCTGCGTCACTTCTCTTGGCCGCCTTCTCCTTTCGAGCCAACGTCCGACACTGGGGGCTCCGTTGTTGAAGGCGTTCTCGTTCAGGCCGCTTCCATGTTTACCCATCTTTTCTGGCTTTGTCTGGAGTAGCAGTGCATGGAAGAGACATCCTCCCAACGGCCAGGAACAACGCTCAAGAGTAACGAATGTTCGATAGACAGAAAGTGCAGGCGTTCATCGGTCTTCGCAGACACGCCCATGCTTACCGAGCCCTCCAGCAAGCTCGACTGAGACAGCGTCACCGTAAACATCACAACCCCGAAGCCCAGCAAGGGCGCACCAGTCGGCGATTCTGCTCCCGTAGGCGGCTCAGCTCCCTTTGGGCTGCCTCCAGGCGCCCAGGTTTGGGGTCAGGTTTGTGGAGTGGGGAACAGGTGGCAGGGAAAAATGCAACGATGATTGCATACCGGTGTCGCCCTCCCCATGCGGCTGACGAAACCCCGGACCACATCGAACATCCCTGCCTATGCCACAGATCCAGTCATCCAGTCTTTAGGTTTAGACTTGGGCCCAAGCAAGCACTGTGCGGGATTCCGTTGCGAGCTGCACGTTCGCGTCGCGGCCGCTCTGCTGCCTGGGGTTATGATGTTCGCTTCCAGCCACAGCTATTTAAATCAAAAAATAATTTCCGTTAGGGTTATAGATAGGGTTTCAGATAGGATTTAACGATAGGATTTGGATGCACACCCAAACCAGGGATAGACATTCCGATAAAGGTTCCAATACGATTTGGATGCACACCAAAACTAGCGATAGACTTTCCGATAGACATTCTAACAGACTTTTTCGATAGACAGTCTGATACGATTAGTTCAATATGCTTTCTTACAAACCAGGGTGCTTGATTTGCAGGCTAAACCCCCAAATTGGCATGTGCTGGTCTGCTGGATACAATGCTGGTTGCTGCGCACACGATTCCCCCACTCCACACCCCGGCCACCCCACCCCACCCCACCCCACCCCACCCCACCCCACCCCACCCCTTGGCCCCACCCAGCCCAGCCTGACCCCTCTCGGATCACCCGGCCTGCGGGTGGGGCCGCTCGCGGCCATCCGGGACCCCTTTCACGGGGCCTATCCGAAACCCCATCGAAAACCCTATCTCCAAAACCCACTGTTCCGGAGCGGCCCGGGCCCTCCCGCCGGACCCCAAAATCCTATCGGAAATCCTATCGAAAATCCTATCGAAAACCCTATCGGCCCGGACCCTATTCTCCCTTTAAGTATAAGGAGAAATGGATAGGATTTGAGATAGGATTTGGGGTCGGGTTTGGGGTCCCGGGGCGATAGGGTTTTCGATAGGGTTTTGGATAGGATTTCGATAGGATTTCGTGGTTTTGCGCCTCAAACCCTCCAAAACCACGAAATCCTATCGAAATCCTATTCAAAACCCTATCGCCCCGGGACCCCAAACCCGACCCCGAATCCTATCTCAAATCCTGTCCATTTCTCCTTATACTTAAAGGGAGAATAGCGTCCGGGCCGATAGGGTTTTTTATAGGGTTTTCGATAGGATTTCCGATAGGATTTTGGGGTCCGGCGGGAGGGCCCGGGCCGCTCCGGAACAGTGGGTTTTGGAGATAGGGTTTTCGATAGGGTTTCGGATAGGCCCCGTGAAAGTCCGAGAGGGGTCAGGCTGGGCTGGGTGGGGCCAAGGGGTGGGGTGGGGTGGGGTGGGGT